ACACACATATACCCCACGCATGCACACACCCCTACACACATATACCCCACGCATGCACACACCCCTACACACATACCCCACGCATGCACACACACCCCTACACACATATACCCCATGCATGCACACACACACATGTACCCCACGCATGCACACACACCCCTACACACATATACCCCATGCATGCACACACCCCTACACACATATACCCCCACGCATGCACACACCCCTACACACACATATATACCCCACACATGCACACACACATACATACCCCACGCATGCACACACACACCCCTATACACATACCCCACGCATGCATGCACACACACCCCTACACACATATACCCCACGCATGCACACATACACACTTCCACAGAAAGCTTACACACGCCCTCCATACACACATATACACCCCCCACACGCACACACACACATATACCCCACACATGCACACATACACACTTCCACAGAAAGCTTACACACGCCCTCCACACACACATACACCCCCCACACGCACACACACACATATACCCCACACATGCACACATACACACTTCCCACAGAAAGCTTACACACCCTCCACACACACATATACACCCCACACACACGTACACACACTTCCCACACAAACCTTATACATATACTCTCCATACACACCCTCCCCACACACCCACACCTACACACACATATACTCCACGCACACACATACTTCCCACAGAAACCTTACACACACACCCTCCACACACACACCTACACACACATACCCCACATACACGCACACTTCCCAAACCTTACACACACACCCTCCATACACACCCTCCAAACACACCTACACACCCACACACATATACTACATACACACACTTTCCACACAAACCTTACACACACACCCTCCACACACACACCTACACACACATATATATACCCCACATGCACACGCACACACTTCCCACACAAACCTTACACACACACCCTCCATACACACCTTCCACACACCCTACATACACACACTTCCCATAGAAACCTTACACATACACCCTCCAAACATACACACTCCACATACATGCCTACACACATGCAACTGCACACACACCCTATGCACCTTGCACACACACAAACCCTCCACATACACACACAGAACACTCTGGCCCCTGTATGTCCATAAACCCTGCCTCCACTTCTCTGAGCCTCTGCCTTGCCACTCGGGCCCTCAGGAGGAGTGGAGCGGGCAACACGTGGTGGACAAGCTGGTGCTGTCAGTTCTGCCCTGGAGGGAGGCAGCCCTGACCAGTGTCCCCTCGGCCTGCCCAGGTGAGCTGCTCCCCAGCATCTGCCCAGCTGCTGTCCATGCTGCAGGGCCTGCTGTACCTGGAGCCGGGCCGACACTCCAGCCAGCTGCTCTGGGAGGCCCTGGAGAGCCTGGTGAACCGGGCTGTGCTCCTGGCCAGTGACGGTGAGCCTGGGGCCTCGGGCTGCAGGAGGGGCCTCGGATGGCGGGAGTGCTGTCCTCACCTGCGCCCCGTCCACCCTGACTCTGTCCGCCCATCCACAGCCCAGGAGTGCACCCTGGAGGAAATGCTACAACGGCTCCTGTCCACCAAGGGGTGGCCCCGGCCTCGGCCCCTAGATCGGGCCCACAAAGGTGTGCAGGCTGACCTAGGCCTGCCCTGGAAGAGCAGTGCCCCCCAGAATTCAAGTGCCCCAAAGGCAGGCCTGGAGGACCAGTGGCCAGAAGTGGCACCCCCTTGCCTGCAGGACACCAAAGCCCCAAGAACAAGTGGAGGCTTGGCTCTGCAGCAGACACCCCTGGCACCGCAGACACCCCTGGCACCACGGACACCCAGCCCACCGCCCCTGCCAGACCTGGGGACCACACCACACCCTCCTCCTCCCCCTCCTCCGCCACCTCTCCCTCCTCCTCCCCCACTGCCCCCCCTGCCAGGCCTAGGTGCCACCCCTCCCCCACCACCACCCCTGCCAGGCCTGGGGGCCACGCCGCCCGCTCCTCCTCCCCCACCACCCCCTCTGCCAGGCATGATGGCACCATGTCCTCCACCACCCCCACTACCTGGCTTCGGTGGGCACTCCCCTCCACCTCCCCCACCACTCCCGGGTACAGTGTGCCCTCCTCCGCCTCCACCTCTGCCGGGCACTCCCGCCCCGCCAGCAGCGGGTGGCACCGAGGAGGGCATCGTGGCTCAGGTGGCCCACTGCCTGGGCTCAGCCCGGGTTCCCAGCCACCGGCACGTGAACCCACCCACGCTGCGCATGAAGAAACTCAACTGGCAGAAGCTACCGTCCAGCGTGGCCAGGGGTAAGCAGCTGGGCCCATGACCCACAGGGCACCCCTCTGCCCAGTGCGTCGGGGATGCCTCAGACCTGTGTGTGTCCACAGATACCTGAGCCAGGGTGGCCAGGCCAGCCCTGGGTTCAGCTCCCACCTCTGAGGCACCTGTCCCCAACACCCCGCTCTGCACTGCCCAGCTCTGTGTGTGCTGACATGGGCTGGGGGCTAGGGAGCTGCCCTTTGCTGTGGCTCTCTGGGTAGGCCGAGGTGGCGGTGGTCTGACCCCCTCGGCCCCCATCCAGCAGAGCGTCACCCTGTGTGGGCGTCGCTGCTCTGACCCCCTCGCCCCCGCCCGGCAGAGTGCCATTCCATGTGGGCATCACTGGGCAGCCCGGACACGGAGATGGTGGAGCCCGACTTCTCCAGCCTCGAACAGCTTTTCTCATTCCCGGTGGCCAAGCCCAAGGAGACACCAGCAGCTGCCCCAGCCAGGAAGGAGCCCAAGGAGGTGGGCCCCCGGTCAGGGTGGGAACGGGTCACCTGGGGTCACCTGCCTGCCCTGCAGGTGACAGGCTGTGTCCCTGGCTGTCCTACAGATCACTTTTCTTGACTCTAAGAAGAGCCTGAACCTCAACATCTTCCTGAAGCAGTTCAAGTGGTGCGTGGGGGTGGGGTGCCCATTCCATCCCAGGGCAGCAGGGGACCCCCAAAGCCACAAGCAAGGCCTGTGCCCTTCCCTGCTGCAGGCTCTGGGGGCTGGCCTTCCCTGGAAGTTCACAGAGCCCTGAGAAGCCCAGGAGGAGAGGCCAGGCTGGGGCTCCATGCCACTCAGCCCAAGCCGTTTACTGTGTGACACCAGGCAGGCACATGCCTTCTCTGTGCCTGTGTCCTCACCAGCCCTGGCCCATCAAGTTCTCAGGGGCAGAAATGTCGTGGACTGAGGACTCTCTCCACTGGCGGCCCCTCCCCACCCTCTCTCTTCCCTCAGCTCCAATGAGGACATCGTGGCCATGATTCAGGCTGGGGACACCACCAAGTTTGACGTGGAAGTCCTCAAACAGCTCCTCAGGCTCCTTCCAGAAAAGCATGAAGTGAGTGGGACCCCAGCCCCAGCTGGGCGGGTGAGGATAGGGGGCCAGGCTCTGTATTCAGCCATCTGAAGAACCATGGGACCCCCGCAGCTTGAGTGATCAGGCAGGACTGGTAGTGCAGTCCAAGAGGGCTTCCTGAGGGAGGGGGTGGGGGAAATCCCAGCACGTGGCCTCCTCCCCGGCAGATTGAGAACCTGCAGATGTTCAAGGAGGAGCGTGCCAAGCTGGCCAGCGCCGACCAGTTCTACCTGCTGCTCCTGGGCATTCCCTGGTGAGCCGGGCAGCCCAGCCACGGGCAGTGACAGGGGTTTTGTAAGGACCTGGGGTGACCCAGAGGATGGCATGGCCCTGGCTGAGCTCCCACTGATTCTAAGAGAATGGGGTGCCCCACAGCTGTGACGGTGTGAGCCACCTCTTCTGGGTACTTGTGTGAGATGGCCCTCCAAGTCAGCACCTGTGGGCCAGGACTCAGAGCATGGGACAAGGACTGGCAGTGGAACCCCCATCCACAGCTCGCTGAAGCTGGAGCTTGTCCTGGTGGGCCCCGGGCCCCCTTGTGCAGGCCAGGGCAGGGAGCCCTGGTGGCTGGGCACGGAGGAGCCCCTGACCACTGCTCACCCCCTCAGCTACCAGCTTCGGCTCAGGTGCATGCTGCTCTGTGAGGAGACAGCCGTGGTACTGGACATGGTTCAGCCCAAGGCCCAGCTGGTGCTGGCCGCCTGTGAGAGTGAGTGCAGAGGGCAGTGGAGGGGGGTGGGCTGTGCGACCCCAGCCTCAGGTGCTGCTCAGGGTGCCTGTGGGTTAGGACCCTCACCATCCCCCGCCATCCGCCTGCCGGCTCCCAGAGGCCCACCTTGTCACATGACAAGCAGGGTAGGGATGTGAGTGGGTCCCTCCAGGGGACCAGCTCACTGCTGCCAGGCATGGCCGTCTTGGCCCCAGCACCAAGGCAGACCACAGCTTCCAGAACCTTCTCAGTGCCTCAGCGTCCTCACCTGCAGGAGGGGCGGTGGGTACTGCGCCCTCGGGGGACTGGTGAAGGCACCAGGAAACCACTTACGGGGGTGGGGGCTGCCGGCTGCCCAGGGCCTGGGTCAGCAGAACGGGATGAAGGCCAGTGGCCGGCCCGGACCCCCAGACCTGGCTCCCCCTCCAGGCCTGCTCACAAGCCACCGGCTGCCGGTCTTCTGCCACCTCATCCTGAAGATCGGGAATTTCCTCAACTACGTGAGTGAGGCTGCCCGCCCGCCCAGCGCCACCCTGCCACCAGCCCAGAGCGCGGGGGCTCACGGCCCGTCTGTCCACAGGGCAGCCACACGGGTGACGCCGACGGCTTCAAGATCAGCACGCTGCTTAAGCTCACGGAGACCAAGGCTCACCAGAGCCGAGTGACACTGTTGCACCACGTGCTGGAGGTGGGCGGGGCGACGCTGTGCGTCACTGCGCTGGAGGGGGCAGGGGGAGACTGCTGCACCACGTGCTAGAGGTGGGCGGGGCGACGCTGTGCGTCACTGCGCTGGAGGGGGCAGGGGGAGATTGCTGCACCAAGTGCTAGAGGTGGGCGGGGCCGGCCGTAAGGGGGGTGGATGCCGTGGGCCAATGCGCTGCTGGGGGTGGGCGGGGCCAGCTGTCGGGGGGCACTGTGCGTCACTGAGCCGGAGGGGGCAGAGGGAGGCTGTTGTGCCACGTACTCGAGGTGACCAGTGCCGGGCTCAGTGGTCAGAGCTGAGGAACACGTGCCCGGGACTCCGCCTTAAAGGGCACCCCTGAACAACTCTCAGCTGCCCCAAGTCTTTCTTCCCATGCCTTTCTTTGCCTGTGCCTACCTCCCATTGTGGGCCACCCCTCCGCACGGCCCGCCCACCTCAGACCTCAGGACCCCCCGCCTTGCGCCCAGCCCCCGGTGGGTGGGGTCATGGCCAGGCCCCAAGGGTAGGGCTTGAGGCCCAGGGGGTAGATGGGGACCGGTTCAGGCACCCCCACGGGGTGGCCTAAGCAGAAACATCTGTTCCAGGAGGTGGAGCGAAGCCACCCAGATCTCCTGCAGCTGCCCCAGGACCTGGAGCAGGCCTCCCAGGCGGCCGGGTAGGCACCAAACCAGCCCCGCCAAGCCCGCCCCCAGTTGTAGTCCCACCAGGGAGGCCGCCACCGGGCTGTCTCGCGGCTGCAGCCCCACCCAGGTCCCCAGAGGCCCTGCACAGTGACACACCCACCTTTCCTATGGGCTGGACCTAGTAGGCTGTCCCGATAAAACTTAACACGGTGATATTGAGGCTTCACAACCGTGATCCTTCATGGCACCCTGCGAGAACAGCCTCGTCTTACCACGAAGTCGAGGTTCAGAGGAATGGGATCGCGTTCCCGGGGTCATTCTGGGGGAGGCCCCCAGAATGTCTGGCCCCAGGGCCCGGGCCCCATCACAGGTGCCTCCCAGATGCCGTGGGGGTGGGCCAAGCAGGAGGGGCCACGGGCCTTTGGGTCACGGTCTGGTCTGAGGCACGTCCTGGAACGTGCCCCGAGGCTTCCAGGCCTTAGGGTGTGAGGAGCCAGGAGTCGCAACTCGTCCCACCTGCACGCTCTGCAGTCTGGACGCTCCTGCCGTCTCATGCCACCTACCTGCTCCTGGCTTTCAGAATCAACCTTGAGGTCATTCGCTCAGAAGCCAGTGCCAACCTGAAGAAGCTTCTAGACACCGAGCAGAAGGTGTCGGCCTCCATCCCCGAGGTCCGGGAGCAGTATGCTGAGCGCCTGCAGGCAAGTGGAGGGGCGGCACTGGCAGGAAGGACCGAGCTGGGGCAGGTAGTCCAGTGTCCGGTCGACTGTCAGCCCGAGAGCTAGCCAGAGCCAGGGCGCATGGCGGCACCTAGGGGACCCCCTGAGGATGGCGGCTGCGGCTCAGGGCCTGTGCTTGATCCTGGGGCGTCCACGGCGCCACAGGTGCGCGAGATTGGGGTGCAAGGCCACGGCCTGTGTCTTGCCCCTCCTGTAGTGGGGGGAGGGGGAAGGGAAATAGTGTTGCTGGGGGAAGGAGAAGGGACCCCGCCCTGGGGATCCAGCCATGACGTCTCCTGGGTAGCTGGGGGTGGCTGCTGCAGGGCCCCCAGGGCTGTGACTGCCCCGTGCCCCCAGGCCAGCATCACTGCCTCCCGGGTGCTGGGTGAGGTGCTGGAGTCCATTGAGCAGAAGAAGCTGGAATTGGCCGACTACTTGTGTGAGGATGCCCACCAGTTGTCCCTGGAGAACACTTTCAGCACCATGAAGACCTTCCGAGAGCTCTTTCTCCGCGCCCTGAAGGTAGACAAGAGGGGAGGCTGGGGGGGGCGGGGCCTGTATGGGCTGGGGTTGGACCAGGACAGGGCCTGCAGAGGCTGGGGCTGGGTTGAGGCAGGGCCTGTAAGAGCAGGGCTGGGCCTGCAGGGGCTGGGTTTGGGCTGAGGCAGGGCCTGTGGAGGCAGGGCGGGGCCTGCAGGGGCTGGGGTGGGGCTGAGGCAGGACCTGTAGGGGCAGGGCAAGGCAGGGCGGGGCAGGGTAGGGCAGGGCCTGCAGAGGCCACT